GTGTGTGTGTGTGTGTGTGTGTGTGTGTGTGTGTGTGTGTGTGTGTGAAAGACAGACAGACAGACAGATAGACATGGTCAGATCTTTAGGAAGACCATTTTGACAGCTCAGTGGAGCATGGATCTAAGTGAGGAGATATCTGTGCCAAGGACACCAACTACAGGCTATTGTAATAGTATAGGTGTTGGGTAAATGAAAGCCTGCACTTGGGTGGTGGCAGTGACAGAAGAGAGAAAGGTGCTTATAGAAAAATATTACGGTTATTTGCATATTAGTCATATCTTCCTACAGACTATCCTATATACTATATCAAAATTTCATTTTATTTAATCCTTGTATGTCACTCAGCCTGCACAGTATTCTGCGCAAAGTGATTGCTTACTAAATGTTTGTCTACTGAAATGAAATGAACTAAAATGGATTCTAAGGGCATAACTGAGGCAGGTACAATGGAAAGGGTACAAGACCTAAGATAAGAAACAACCTTTGTGACCTTTGACAACTCACTTTAGCTTTTGAACTTCTGTTTCCTCATTTGTAAAATGAGAAAAGTAATACATCCTTCCTCCCTCTCAAAGGGTCTTGGCTAAGAAAGTTCTTTGTAAATTTTAAGAACCAAATCAAAGTTTCTTTATTTCATCTCCAATTCTTATGTTCATTACGGAAAGAGATTTTTTTGTTGTTGTTATTTGTCCTTTGTTCTCCAAGAGGATGATGACATCAGGAAGATGATGCCATGACTTGCACATGAATTGGATTTAAGTGAGGAAGGGCTGTGCAAGGTCACCAGCCTCATTTTCTCCTCCAGAGCCATCTGAGTATCAGGATGACTAGAGACGGTCTCTATAGGAAGAGAAGGCTCATCTCAAAGGATGATAGCATTTACTACTGGAAAGAATCTGAGAGGTCATGTATACAAATCCCCTAGTTTTATTTTTTCTTTCTTTTTATGAGGTCTGGAGACAAGGAAGTCATTCAAGAGAACTGTGGAATGGCAACACAATTAATAGATATGAATTGGTCTTAATAAACTATACCAAGTAGATCTCTGACAACTAGTTTAGTAATGGGACATGTTTTAGTTTCGGATTGGTTCTATGGCAGGGATTCTTAACTTGGGGACTGTGAACTTAAATTTTTAAAAAATAATTGTATTTTAATATAATTATTTTCCTTTGTAATTTCATGTAGGATGTATTTTATTTTATGCACTTAAAAACATGATGCTGAGGAGTCTTTAGGTTTCACTAGCCAAAAAGGTCCACAACACAAAACAGGTTAAGAACTCTTGCTCTATAGGATAGTTCTTTTTCCACTCACACAGACTTTCAAGTGTAGAAAACAAAAGTTTTATATTATTTACATAAAATATTTATTCTCACTTCTCTCTAGGATGTACTCTGGACTTTCTCTATAATGCCCCTCTTCATTCTAGGAGTTCATTGTAGCCCTGAAATTCACACATTGGATTTACCCTCTACCCCAGTGAATTCTCTCTCTAATTGGATAACTTCCCCCAGAACCTCTATTCAATAAAGATGCCTAGCATAGCCAGGTCTCATTCTTTTCCAGGCTGTGGTACAGACTTTCAGTACTGTTTTCACGCCAGGTAAGTTGGTCTCCCTTTTCATCTCCCTTTATATGTTGCCTTCCTCATTAGAATATAAGCTCATTCAGGGAAGAAATTATCTTTTTGTTTATATTTATTTCATAACATAATTTATATAATAATATGCTAATATAATTATATTTTATTTTATAATATATCATGTATTTGTATATGCCAGCAAGTAGCAGTGTTTGGCACACTAATAAGTTTTTAAATAGTTTTAAAAGTTATTTTATTTTTAATTTATGGGTTAAAACAAGCATTTCCATAACATAGTATAATAAAAAAATTGCACAAGAAACTGCAAATCTATCATGTACAACTTGCTATTCCATTTAAATATATAATAAAGTTATCACGCAAATTTCTTTTTTTTCTTCCTTCTCCCCTCCACCCTAGAGATGGCTACCATTAGATACAAATGCATATATATATATGTGTATATATATGTATATATATGTAAAATCATTCTATATATACTTTTATTTAACAGTTCTTTCTCTGATACCATCTTCTTTCATATATCCTTTGTAGTTAATTTGAGTATTTATAAGAGTCAAAATGATTTATTCACTCAAACTTGTTTTTAAAACAATTGTTGGGGCAGCTAGGTGGCTCAGTGGATAGAACACTGGCCCTGAAGTCAGGAGGACCTGAGTTCAAATCCAGCCTCAGACATATAACACGCACTAGCTGTGTGATTCTGGGCAAGTCACTTAACCCCAATTGCCTCACCAAAAAACAAACAGACAAACAAAAAACAACAATTGTTGCTACTGTATACAACATTCTCTTGGTTCTGCTAATTTTGCTCCTCATTATTTCATGCAAATCTATCCATGTTTTTCTAAAAACAATGAGCCCATCATTTCTTATAGCACAGTAGTATTCCATCTCAATCATATACCACAACTTGTTCAGTCATTTCCCAATTGATGAACATCCCCTCAATTTCCAGTTCTTTGCCACCACAAAGAGAATTGCTCTAAATATTTTAGAATGTATAGGTTCTTTTCCTTTTCCCTAATCATTATTGGAAATAGGTTTAGTAGATGTATTCCTGAGTCAAAGAGTATAAGCAGTTTAATAATTCTTTGGGCATAATTCCAGATTGTTCTCCAAAATAGTGGGGTCAGTCCATAGTTCCACCAATAGTGAATTAGAGTCCCAATTTTTCCATATCCCCTCCAATATTTCTTGCTTTTCCTTTCAATCATTTTAGACAATCTGATAGGTATAAAATGATCTATCTCAAGGTTGGTTTAATTTGCATTTCTCTAACCAATAATGGTTTTTTCATATGGCTATAAATTGTTTTGATTTCTTTATTAGAAAACTGTCTGTTTATATCCTTTGACCATTTATCAATTGGGAAATGACTTGTATTCTTAAAGATTTGACAAAGTTCTTTATATATTTTAGATATGAGACCTTTATCTGAGAAACTATAAAAATTATTCTTATAACATAGTAATTTTTAAATAAAAACTTGTTGACTGATGGAATGAATCAATTACTAATGTCAATTCTTTACATTGTACTGTCATTACCTACAATGTGCCTTGCAAGAAAGAGAAACCCTTGCTCCTTCTGGGACTTATATTCTAGGACAATGTAACAGAAACCTGCACATTTACCAAAATTGTTTCAGAGCCCTTTGTTTCCCCATCCTTCACTGCCTTTCCCTTATTCTTACACCCCTCAAACCACTCCCTAACATCCCACTCTAAAGTTACCTAACTCTTGTACAATATATTTTGGAATGCCTGTTCCATAGGTAACAAGCCAGCTTTCATCTTAAGACTTTTCCTTTTTTGCTCCTTCAATTTTCCTGCACTCACTGAGACTTAGATCCCTCTAGATCGCAAAGCTTTCCTGGTCAACCTTTCCAGCACTGGGTTGTACTTTCATTAATACTCCTTAATCCTCCCCCCTTGCCGCACCTCCCCTGCCCCAGCTCACCTCCCTGAAAGGTCATGGTGGAAAAGTTGGAATATTTCTTGCTCTCCATTGCCACTTCCAGGGAAAGATATGCCTACTACCATCACTCAGTAACCTCTCATCCCTTGAGATAAAGTAATCCATATTTACCAGCCCCAGAGATTCTAATGGCTGTTTCCTACTTATCTCCATGAATTCTTCTTTTTTCCTCAATGAGTTCAGTGCCAGACTGGTTCTTTTTCTCCTCCCCAACTCTTGCCCTCATAAAAAGGGGACTTCAAAAAATATTGGTACTCCCCTAAAACCCTAACCTTTTAATTCCTCAACATATTCATTTCCAGTGACCTACTCTTCCGTTCCAGCACAGCTATACACAAAAATAGCAACAGCTTTGATTTTGCCATCATCCACAAATGTTCTTTCATGTCCATGAATTCTGAAATTCCTTTATCTGATCATAGTCTGTTTTCATTCTACCTTTCCCTTTAATCGTGTTCTTCATCCTCACCACAACTTCCAAACCCTTCACATTTCAATTCTTTCCCAGGCCATTGGAGCTTGCATAACCTAGACTGTACAACTCTATTCATCATCTTGACCTAGTGATGAAAC